CACCCGGACTCCTCCAGGAGCAGACTGCACATGCTCTTGCCCCCATCTCCTATCTTTTCTGCTTTGTTTTCGCCTTAGCATGCTCATCTGTCGGTCTCTCCCCACTAGAGTATAAACCATGAGCACAGAAGCTTTTGTCCACCCTGATGTGTCCCCAGAGGAAGAACAGTAAAGAGTGACTGCTGCACGCTAAGTGCTTGCTACAGCTTGCAGCACACCTAAAACATCTTCCAGAGCCACATGCATGTGTAGGAAGGGCTACTGGAAGGTGGCCAAATTATGGGGCCTTATGACTGACTTGCTGTTAGGAGGTGGGATCTGGTCAGAAGGGAGGGGCCCTGGGGGTATGGCCTGCGTCTGTCTCCTCCCTCCTTGCTTGATCTCCCTCTGCTTCACTGCCAGGCCATGCACAAGCCTACTCTGCCAGGCTGCCCTGCCTCAGAGCCAGCTGACCTATACAAGTGGTGCTCACCAATCCCTTGCTCCTCAGGGTTGTGGGCATTGCGGATTTTGTCCCAGCAATGACAAAGTAACTAAGACACTGGTCAATAAATATTCAATCGACTGTTGAATCACTGATCAATGTTACACTACTTAGCTTTATTGTAGATATTAAATATGGAGGCTTCTCTAAGTATGATGCAGATACATCCTGATAAACCCATTCAGTTGAAAACATCACAAGTCCAAGAATGCATTTAATGTTCCTAATCTGTCAAACATCACAGCATAACCTCATTTACCTTAAATATGCTCAGAATCCTTATCCTATAATTAGGAAAAATTATCCAACTCGAAGTCATTTCCTAACAAAGTGTTGAATAGCTCACGTAACTTGTTGGGTACATGGATACAGACAGCATGGGCCACACAGTGTATTATGGATTTGCTTACTCTCCTGATCTCAAGGCTGATTGAGAGCTCACTATACTGCCTACACATTGCTAGCCTCGGAAAAGAGCAAAATGCAAAGTGAGGCTTCTTCTGAACATGTAGTGCTTTGCACTGTTGTAAAGTCAAAAAAATCATAGGAAGAACTATTCTAAGTCAGAGAGTCTCTATCTGTTCTTGGCTGAATGAATGCTCTATCATGTCGCTAGCCCATTTAAGAGTTCAAACCCTAGGACTGGGTTCAAAGTATGACCCCTTCTAATCCTAGCTGGGAAAAGTTAAGTCCCCTGGGTCTCAGGATAAGCTCTTAGCTTGGCCCTGACCACTCTGCTCCCATGAGCATATTCCTAGGCATTGATGTCTCCGCACCCCACTTCAAACAGACACGCTACTGATCCACGTACTCAGTATGCAGAGCCCTAGGACTTGGGACAGGCCAGCCACTCTTCCAGCCTCAGTCCTCCACCAACGAGCACTCCATTTCTCCTCTTCCTCTCGGAGGAAATTGACGTTCCCTTGGGAATCTTTCCCTGACCCTCCAGGTCTGTGTGACCTTCCTCTGTTATTAATGATTCATGCGGTAACACCTCATCACAGTGTTATCAACCAGTGAACACATGCAGAAAACAAACATTTAAACTGGCAGATTGTCTACTTAGTAAACTTGGAGGGAGCATTCCTCTGCCCTGCTGCAACACAGGCTCGTCCCTGTGCACACTACCTATGTTCAGTGATACAGTTGTATCTCAGGATGAGAACATGGTGAAGGGCACACACTTTGGAATCAAAATGACCTTCTTTGCAATCTCTGGGGTATCCCTGAGGCCACCTCTGGCTGTCATTTAAAGTGTCTCTACTGTACAGTGGGCTTAGAAATCAGATGGTGATGGTTGTTAGAACTGCCTGTAAGTTAAGTGGAAGTAGTACCTAGGCATGGACAAGAGAGACCCCTATTTATAAGTGTGTCTGCTTTAAAACACACTTTTTTTTTTGTATTTTAGGGAAGGGTCTGCAGGGTATTCATGGTCTCACTACTAGATCAGACTCGTAGTGATCCGCCCATTTACAGCCTCCCAAGAGCTGGGATTACAGGAGTGCACCACTATGCCCAGGCTCAATTGCTCTCTCATCGCAACCTGGGGGCGGGGCCAGCATGGCAGGCCTGGGGATCAAACCCTTGGGCCCTGCGCCTACTTGCAGTCACTTTAATCAGCTGAGCTATTTGGCTAGCCCTAAAACACACACTTTTACAAGTTGTTTTGTTGATCAGAGACTTTTCTAGCCCTAGTTTTTGGGTTACATAGAGATTCTTTGGGTTGGACAAGTGACTCCGTACAAGGTGTGCCTCCACACTTTCAGTGTCTTATGTGGTATCTGTTGTAAAGCGGCTAACTGTATGCACAGATGTGGCTTTTCAATCAGATTGTTTCTTGGTTCATTTCTTAACTTCCCAAGGGAGAAAGTTTTTATAGTTTTTCATCCATCTGCTAAGGATAACTTAAAGCAACTGTTATATGGGGAGATCTGTGACAGAATATAATATGCACATCATTGGGGAAAAAAAGATGCAAATTGCCAACATGAAGTAAGAAGGTAAACATAAAAATTCAAAGTGCTTCGGATATTCAAATAGCAGGAGAGATTACACTGGCTGGGATAAGTGGGAAAGGCTTCTTGCATCAGGTGGCATTTGAGGTAGATCTTGGTAGACGGGAAGAGCTGTAGTGAATGGTATTCCAAGTTTGGGGGACACTACGGGAATGGGAAGGAGGGGAAAATAGACAGACACATGCATACGCGGTGGCTGTGAACATGTTTGTGAAACATGCTGTGCTAAACGCTTGCAAAAGCCCAGGACCAACTGAGTTTGGAATGAATGGTCTGGGAAGGCAGAACAGCAGACAGCACTCAAAGCCAGACAGGCCTCCAAGACAGCAGCTACCTGCAAGGCTGGCCAGCAGGTGATTGTGACCCTCACCCTGAGCCTCAGACTTTCTCCAGTGCTGGCCTTTTCAGCTTTAAGTATTGAACTCAGGCCCTTGCGCTTGCCAGGGAAGCACTTATTCCACTGAGCCAAATCCCCGGCCCCAAGATTCTTGGATAAAAATGAATAATAAACAGCCCTTAAGAATGGATTTATTCTTTTAGAAGTTTGTTTTGGACCACATTTCTCTCCCCAAAAAGCACTTTGGGAGACATAAAGGGAACAGCAATTACTTCCCATGAAAATTCCTTGAGGACCCCTATGCTACTACACTGGGGCCATTCAGCAGCATCATAACCTGACTTGGAAAGGCCTGGCCTGCTTTGAGGAGTCTGAGTTTTAATGAAAAGAGAACTTTGGCACAGCTTTGTAGCGCTGCACCTGACAGACTTCCGGCTTTCCTGTGAGGAATCTGGCTGCTGCAGTCCCCAGTACCGGCCCTCTGGAGTCCACTTGGGTGCACACGGTCTGGGCCAGCAAGGGGGACAGTGGAGCCTGGTGGCTGGGAGCACAGAAAATTTGCTTGAACGTGTGGTTATCCTTGTACTGCAAAATACAGGACAATGGTGGCTGGGGGGACGAGGCAGACGTTTTGATTGTTGGAATGAGGGCTTCTTGGGTAAAGGCCCCTGACCAGGTCTAGTTCAGGGTGAGTCCCGTTTTTTTTCAGCCCGACTGCTTGTAATACTCCTGTAGACAGCCGTTGCAAACAGCATTTCAGCATCCATTGTCTCCACTGGAAAACTGTGAATCCCTCACCCTAACTGCACAAGACAACAGGCGAACCACTTTTCAGACAAAAGCAGTCCCGGAGCTACCTTCCTTCAGAGATGTGATCTGCCAGTATTTCTTAGGGTTTTGGGTTTGCGGGTGAGGGGCTAGCACCTGCTCCGTTAGGGCAGGAGCAGGGCAAAGCAGGCTTGTAGGGATGCGAGGCTGCACGGCTACTTCCTGGGCTGCGTATGAGCTCAAGTATATGTGCTATATGGGTTAAGGTGTGGGTCCTGAACGCTTGTCCATTCTTGTCACGGGTGACTGAGCTGGTGCACACATGCACCGTGGGGCAGGGAACACACGTGAATGTGTGTGTGGTGGACTCTGATCAAAACCTTGAATTTGGTGCCTAATTGTAAGAATGTGTTTCTGCGTGTTCCAGAGTTTCAGGGCGCAAGTATGTTGGGCGCTGTGTGTTGGAGGTCAGTCGCTGGGCCCTCTACTCCTGCGGATGGAAGTGCCGGATTGTGTTCGTCCTCGTTCAAATGTGCGTCCGTGGGGGTGTCGGTCGGGGGCCCGGGTGTTCCGCGTGACCGCGCCCGCCCGCTCCGCCCTCCGCTGCAGGTGGGCCGGCCTGAGCGTGGCCGCAGCGCTCGCAGCTCTTGGCTCGCGGCCGCGTCGGGTTCGCAGGGCTGGGCTGGGGCTGCGGGGCGGCGCCGGGACAGGAAGCGGAAAGCAGCAGTGCAGCGGCGGCGGCGGCGGGGCTCGGCTGCGGGGCGGCGCCGGGACAGGAAGCGGAAAGCAGCAGTGCAGCGGCGGCGGCGGCGGGGCTCTGCCTCTACAGGAGCCCAGCGCAGGCCGCACAGCCGGGGACCCCGGGAGCCGAGACCGCGGGCCGCGGAGCCCGCCGGCCGGCGCGGAGGTGAGTCCCGCAGGAGGCGGGGCGGCGCGGCCCCGCAGACCCCGGGCGGGAGACGGCCGGGACCCCGCGTGTCCCCGCGCGCTCCTCCTGCACTCGCTCCGCGGGACCCAGCGCGGATCGCGGGCCTCCCGCCTCTGCCCGGGGCTCCTCCCGGCCGCGCCCGGGTCGCGCTCGCCGGGACCCTTCTTCTCCGGTGCCGCATGGGGCGCCCTCCCGGCCCCGCCCTGCGCGCTGGGCACACCCAGTCTCTCGGTCTCGGGGAGCCCTGCCCGTACGTCGGACGCCCCTTCTCTGCGGGCTGGCCTTGGAGTGCGCCCCTTGGGCGCGGCGGGCGGTAACCAGGGAGCAGCCGAGCGTTGGTGGAGGCTGGGGCGGCCGATCGGCGCTCCTCGGGAGCCGCGCGCGCACCGCTCTTCGCGCCCGGCCGCCGCGCTCCAGGGGTGCTCGCCGGCGCGCGAGATCCCGAGGCCCGTGGCCAGACGCCAGGAGCGAGCTGGCCCGTGCTCCTCACTGCGCCTTCAAAGTTCTGGACGCCTGGGGGGCGCGTCCGTTTGGGCATCCTAGAGCGCAACAGGCAGGTAGGAGTTTACTTTCAAAAGCCCCCGGGGCGGAGCAGAGAGGCGTGTCCCCAGTCTCCGCCCGGAGGGTCCTTGCTCTGGAAGTCGCCCCACGCGGGGCAGCCCTCGCCACCGGCGGGACCTCATTTCCTTTAGCAACCTTTGAACTGCCCCCAAGCAACGCGCCCAGAGAAGTGTGAAGCTTTATAAAAAATTTAAACGCGTCGGTGTTGGAGGCAAGAGTGGGGCGGAGCCGCGGCCTGGCGGCTCTGGGATGAGCCGGTGAGACTTGGAGAGGAGAAATTTGTTTCTCAGTTTTCGTCTCCAGGCCAGACTTGATGCCCACGCCGCGCAAGTGAGCACGTCTCGTTGATGTTGGGAAAGTGTTAGGACGGTTTATTATGATCATGTGACTGGCACACGCGTTCGGTTTAAACTCTTTTGAGGGGGCTGTGGTTAGAAATGCGGGTATTCTTGAAGACTTATTCCAAAAGCTAGCAAGCTGTAAAGTATCTGGCATTTTCCCTGACATGTTTATAAATTTTACAAGGTTGCCGAAAAATATTATAACTTGTGTCACCAATCAACAATGCTAATTAGCATGCTCCTTCTAGTGGGTGGGTTATTTGATTACACAGCTCCTAGGCTTTTTAAGTGAGATGGCAGAACTGGCTGAATCCGGGGAGACATAATTAGCCATTTTATGTAACCACTAATTAGAGTTTGTAGAGTGGAATTAAATCAATGTGATATAGTTGGGGCCTTGATTTGTGGGAGGAAATTTTTATTCACTTCACTTATCCATAAGCTCGTAGCATTACCATATGTTGGCCACTCTGATAGGGTGGATGAAAAAACCCCGTGTGACATTTTCACTCTTACAGTGTTGGCAGTGTGACTTTGCTGCAACTTAATTTGCAAGTAAAATGAGAAGAATTTTGAGAGTAGCATATTTATAAGGACTGGGTGCCACATGGTATGGTTTTGATTCTTTTATTTATTGAGCAATAGGGTGAAACCATAAAGGAAAGTTAAAAGTGCCCTCACCCAGGGACAATTCCATGTCGTCCTTGTCTGTGATGAATTGTTAAGTGTTGAGGGAGAGAAGTATTCTCTCCTTCGTCTCGCTGATACCCACAGAAGCGCACAACTAGCCTGTGACCCTTGATTTCCGCTGCTGTTTGGGCCCCTGTCACACTGGATTTAAATTGGTGACCTCCAGCTTTGGGCCTTGGGCTCCTTCACAGCTCGAAGTTTTTCAGATTTCAGATCATTTTGCTTTCTTTTGAACTCCTCCCAGTGTTTAGCACACTGAACCTGTGAGTAGGAGTTGAAATTGCAGAATTCGTTGTGAGGTTCTGTGTGGCTTGGAACAATTTACAACTGTCACATACCCTCCTCTGTCAAAAATGATTCTGGTAATCACTACATTGCTGTAAATTTTCTGTAATTAAGAAGAAAGATTTAATGATTAGACTCAAAATTCAGGTCCTGTTGAGCATTACGAGACCTGCGATCCTGGCTTCCTGAACTGTGCCGTGATATTAATATTTTATTTATCATAAAGGCTGGTTCCCGGGGTTAAGGGAGACGCCGTGTAGATGATTTAGTCTGACGCACAGTACTCACGTGATCACGTAGGCCGTTAGACTGGTACTGTTGTCTTCTCTCTGAAACGTGAAAGACGCTGTGCCCAGGGGTCTGGGTGTATGTGGCAGGTGATCTGGGCGTGTGCGCTGCAGTCTCCCTAAGTTGGACAAAATGAGGTGGCTCGCAGCTGGGCGCTGCCTCTGCCAGCGGCTTGGGCTGACTGAAGGAGAGGCGCCTGCATGCTGTGATCCAGGCCCTGTCCACCGGGGTCCTTTCAAGGCCCATTTTTTAGACAGCACTTGTTGGGCCTGTGGGGTTCACTGAGAGGGTAGCGTTCATGAAACCTATCATCCTGAAGTTTAAAAATCAGCAGGGTCCCAGGGGTTGGCTTGACAACAGATAATCCACATTAGTGGAGTCATTCATAACTCTACGGAAATCTGTATCCAGCTGCTGGAAATGTTTTATTTTTTTTTTTTTTTAGATATAATTAATGATTTGAACCAAGAGAAGTTATTCTGGGAAGGTTAGGGGAAATCAGTGGCAAGAAAGGTAAGATGAGGTTGACATTTTCTTTCCTTGTGGAGAGCAGCTCGTAATCACTGATTTGTCAGAGCTCTGGTGCTGTGAGAGGATCCTTGGATCTGTCACCAGTGCCACCAGGCCTGCTGCTCCTCCCATTGATGGCCTGGGTGGGGCTTTCTGGTTACAGACCACAAGTCTGGTGAGATGTTTGTAGGCCTTGTTACCCTTCCCTGAAGCCTTCCTCTCACCCGTTAACCTCCAGATAAACTCACACAGTGTTCTCTACACTCTCTGACATTCATTTCCAAACTGAGGAATGATCAACACAGGCCTACACAGGCTGAGTGGGAATGGATTTTTCACTTAATGCAAGTTGTTACAAATGGACCCAAGCAAAATGCACATGAAATGACAATTTTATGTAAGTCATTTCTTCCTAATTGAAGGCCTTTCACTTTACTGAGTTACTGCAGTAATGGTGGACAGTTGTGAGCACTTACTGACCATGTGGTAGACAGTGTTCTAAATTATTTTTATGGATTACGTTATTTAATACCCACCACAGTCTTAAAAGGTGGTAAAATGTAACTGTTACTACAGTAGGGAAACTGAGGTACAGAGAATGAACTAACTTGCTCTGGGGTCACATAGCTAATTTAGTGATGTCGAAGTCCAGGTGCTCTTCCTCACAAGGAGAAAAGTAGACTCTAAGCAAATCATTTATATTGTCACTTTTCCCTTGAGTGCCGTATAGCCAAAAGAGGGTACTTGGAGAAGAATCTTACCTTCAGATATAAATAAGAATTCATGGAGTTTCCCCTGCAGAATTCTCTGTATAGTAAACATCAGGTAGAGCCAAGAACACAGTGTATGTAGATGCAGTTGGAAGGAAAGGAGTGGCTCTTCTGATGTAGTGTGTGTCCCTGCACCAGGCATGGTAACTTCCTTTCTTCCCAGGGGAGCCCCCGTAATGACTTAATGGCTGTAGGCAGAGCTGTTGATGTTTTTATAATTTCCTTTTGGTGACAATTAGCTTAGGTCTACCACTGTCATTACCATAACCTATTATTTCCCTCATGTGATTTTCTGAGCCCTGTTTTTCTTTTAAGTAGGAGTCAAGTGTATTTTATATGCATGAACATGACTTGAGGGAGGATTCTGACACTGCTGACCTTCGTTTTGCCCTCATTAAGCCATGGTAAAGGAGATTCTTTACAGTGCTTTTGCCTGGGAATTCCAGATCTCAAGACACTGTCACTCAGAGGTGCCCGGTGCACCCAGCTCAGCAGTGTTCCCCGAGCCAGTTATGTAGTGTGATTCGCTGAGCGCAGCCCCTGCTGGTGCATCACACTAGCCCCTTGCCTACATCTCTGCAGGAGTGGGTGATGGGAAAGTCAGAATGCTTTGGGGCAGGACAGAAGGAGGCTGCTGCACACCTGTAGTATGAACTTCTGCTTAGTGGGTGGCTGTGTGAGCCAGGCGGCTTCACTCTCATGGTATTGCTGCGAGGTTCCTTCCGTGGGAACCATGTGCCGCGCTGTCCCAAGCCCTGCTGCCACATGTTCATTCAGCACATTTAGGCAGTGCCAGCTGCTGCAGGGAGCTGGAAAAACAGAAATGCAAGGGGCCGCTGCCCCCATGGAGCCTGCCGTGTGTTACAGGAACGGACATTAGCCAGATTCAGTAAATATGTAACTGAAAATGGAGAAAGGAAGAGTCCTGCATGTTAGGAAGGGCCTGATGTAGATCAGAAAAGCCTCTTGGAAGAGCCAGGACTGTATTTAATTGGAAAAAAATTGGGCAAATTTCTGTGCCCAGAGGCTGTAGAGACCCTTAGAGGAATGGGAGTTGAGGCAGGACAGTGCAGCTCAGAAGACTGTGTTGTATCCCGTGCTCAGAGGGACACCATGGAAGGGTTTTAAGCAGAGTGATATCTGCATTGTAATTTAAAGGTGTCTTTCTTTGCTGGGTCAAACAATATGGATCATGTCAGAGACCAGAATGGTAGAGACAGTTCCAGGTTCTGAGCTCCATGTCTTCACCTTTATTTGACCCCAGCCCATTCAGGCTGTGCAGCAGCCCAGCCCATCAGCCTACTACCCAGGGAAGCCGACTCCTTTCCATAGTTTGTTATGTCTCTGGTAAGGCGTCTCTTCTGGCCCTGTTTCGAGCTCTGTTAATTCCTGGTGCACACAAGATCAGATCAGAGGGAAGATCTGTCTGATCGTCTGGTCTTCCCTCTAATCTGATCTTGTGTGCACCAGGAAGAGAGCTGTCTCGTGAGCGCTTACAGTCCCTGCAGCGATAAACATCAGGACGCACTTCTTTGCTGCCTCCGGAGGAGTGCTGGTGTTCGAACCCTCTTAAAATGAGTTCTCAGTGTCTGAGTTCCTTCCTGTTGCTTCTGCTTAATCTTTACTGAGATCTTAGATAGGATAAGTATCAATAAGCATGCTACAAATCGTGTGATGTAGAAGGGCTGGGCTCTGGCTCTTTGTAGCCTGGGGTCCTTGAAGAGACGTGGAGGCTTTACAGTAGGCTTGGCCTGCGCTACTGCGGGCTAGCAACGTGGCAGAGGTCCTGTTTTCTGGGAATAGGTGCAGCTCCATGCTGTTTGCGTATGTGGGATGAAGCGGAGAGGGTACTGAAGATGGCACAGGGTTAGACTCATGGCACAGAGTGGTGGGCGAGGAAACTGTGGCAGAAGACATGGGCCGGCCTAGGCCAGAAGGCGGGAAGCCAGCTGCAGAGGGTGGTGATCCTCCCAAGTGGAGCAAGACAAGTCCTCCCCAGCAGCCAGTGTGCATCGGGGCTGTGTTCTTCGGTAAGCATTTGCTGGTACCTGTCCTGCTCACGAGTCTTGGGGCTAGGAAGCCGTAGCTGCTGCCTCCCAGGAGTGTCTGCTCTTGTGAATCCACCTGTAGGGAAGTAGGGTGCGTGCTTTAAGTGCTGAGGGATAGCGCATGATATGGGGAAAAAGGAAAGCATAAACAGGTGGCGACCGCAGAGCCCTGGGAGGACAGGCGGGCAGTGTGCCCCTGTCATGGTCATGCTTGTCACATTGCTGAGCATGGTCCTCTCATGTTGCTCAAATGCAAATATGAATGAAACAGTGGGGTAAGAAGGGCTTGGAGGGCGACAAGTGTGTCTGTCAACCACCTCTGGACCTGGCTCTCCCTGACCAGTTTATGATGTTTCATTGGAGAGTTAAGGATGGAGGACTTGGTGACAACAGAGAGGGTGACAGCATGCACTGATATCCATTAGATAAGTGCAAGTAGGAGTTTGGGGAGAGAAACTAGGCAGCGGTGGTTCTTAGAGTTAGGAAAATCTTTTATCTACAGGATACTGGGGTTCCATCCTTCCTTGTCTTAATGAATAGCCAAGTTTTAATGAGGATGAGGGGTGATGGCCATTGGCAAAAGGGGAAGCGAATGGAATTGGGTTGTATGTGCTGGAGAAATTGCATTTAACTCAGCACCCCCTTAGGAAGAAAATACTAAATGCCCTCATTTTACTGGGGTGCAGGGTTGTGGTGAGAGCTACAACAGAAGCTTAGACAAAAAAAGATCTGCTGCACGAAGTTATCACTAGGAAGTGAAAAGAAAGGATCAGCTGTGGCGTGCAGGGTCTGGGCTGTCTGCCTCTGAGTCATCTCTCACCATTTAGTGACAAATAGCAAGAGTTGGGGATAGAACAGGGATTTAGGAGTTACGGGTTGGGAGGCACAAACAGATCCAGGGGTTATGGAGGGTCAGTTGTGGATCTAGTAAAGGAAGGCCAGTTTTCTCGGGGAAAGAGCTGAACATTGGAACTTACAGGTCAACAGAGAGCAGGGACAGGCGCTCACAGGGGCGACTCGTAGTTCCCACTGGCTGCCCCTCTTGGCTGTGCTTCCCAGCGCTGTTGCCTGCCAGGTCTGAGGCCAGTGCAAAAAGCAGCAATGCCCAGAGCAGAGAAGAGGTGAGAATGAAAGGCGCTGAAAACGCGTTGAAATTGCTGGTGGAAATGCCGGGAGACAGCACCGCAAGAAAAGGCCAACCAGCTCACAAGCAAGTCTTCTGGAACGCAGAGGTCAGTCCAGGAGCAAACTAACATTTAAAAAAATGCCTGCCTGCATGTTTGGCATTTACTCTTTATAGTCACCTCCTCAGTATAGGATGTCTTACTGCCTTTTCATGGAGTAGGAAGCCTGAGGTCAAATCAAGACCTGACTGCCTTGCTCATGTACACAGCTGGGCAGGAGGCGGTGGCATGCACAGCCAGCCTGGTTAGGGTGGCCTTAGGGTAGCCGGCAGCTTAGGCGGGCCTACGGTGAGCCGGGTGCTCACTGCCCTGCTGCTGTCCTAGCTTTTTGACCTATAAGAGAAGAACATGGAGCCTTGGAGTAGGGATGGCCACCCACTGTCCTTATGCACTAGCCCGTGGTGGGCACTGTCATTCTGCTTTAGCCCACGTGGTCACTGTCGCAGTCCTGACCCTCCCAGTTTGCAGGTGCAGGTTCAGTGAGGTTTAATCAGAGCTCAAGAGCTAGGAGTCTGGGATTGGAGCCCCACTCGAGATTCTGTGTCTGCTGGTATCTTTGTATCCACCCTGTGGTGCTGTCAGTTGGTTTAACGAATGAGGAAAGGTAGGCCCAAGAGGCCAGGGGTGTATCTTGGGCTGTGAGACCTGGTTGCTGAGCCAGAGCGAAAGCCCAGGCTTCTTCATCGCTGGCCCCAGGCTCCGGCATGGGCTAAGGGAGGCTACCTGTAGGCAGCCACGGTGGCCCTGAGCGAAAGGCGCTTTGAAGCTGAAGCCCTGGGGCTGGCTGTGTTGGTGTGCGGTTCCCCAGCCTGCCTGACTCTCCACAGACTTGATGTGTCCTGGGGTCTGGGAGCCTGGGCCTCCTCACCCTGGGGCAGGGCTGAGGCGTTTGCAGGCCTTTGTGCTTTCTTCACACTTATCTCCCGGGTGTGTTTGCAATTCGGCTTCTGGGGAGAAGGAACCCGTCTGGGCGGAGCGGACCCGCTCGGGGTGAGGGGTGCAGGGTGCAGGGAGACACAGAGCTTCAGATCTGTTTTCTAGAAGTAAAGGGCTAGTGTGGGGAGGCGGGGCCCAGGAATGTACTTGGAAATGTTTCCAGTTTATTTTTATTGCAAAGCGGTATCCAATGAAAGTGTGGGAAAGGACCCAAGAACCTCGCAACTAATAAATCACCTGCTTTCATTGTGCGATGTCCCCTCTGAGCCCTTGCCCTTCCAGAAGTCATTTGATATGAATGTAGGGGTAAAGTCAGTGTGTATCTGTAATCAACTTTAAATTCATCCTACCCTAAGTATCTGTGCTTTCTAATTATTGTTTTATATAGATACGTGATTTTTCTCTGGATGGATGAGCCATGCTTTCCCTACCTACCCCTTTGTTTTAGGAACGCTGATATAGTTTGTAGGTTTCATTATTATTATTATTGATGGTTGGGCAATAATTTTCTTGAAGCTGTACTTCTCTAAGACAAATTCTTAGGACTTTGGATTCTTGGGTTAAAAGTGCTAGAGTGTTCTTTTTTACTTTTTGATAATGGTCAGATTCCTTAGAACGCCTTCCCTGGGTGTTGTTTTAATAACCAGCAGACTGTCAGCGAGGGCACCGAGGGGGCCCAGCACTCTGTGCTGGGGTTGTTGGTGCAGGAGCCACTTCCTGAGGCCAGAGCTGGCGAGGTCCGAGCTTAGGAATGGACGGGAGCCCAGCTCTCTCCCACCGCTCCTCTTCCTCCTGCTGTGCCCAGCGCCCCGCCTGTCACCCCATGCCTGGGAAGCCTGTTCCTGCCTGAGCTGAGCATTTACTGATCAGTGCTTCTTCCAAGTCCCCTAGTTCCATAATAAAGACCCCCCCCCCCAGAGGAGGAGGCTGCTTAGCAGAGGCAGCTGCTGTCTGCCCTGGTTAGACTGGCTTTGGAGATTGAGCTCTGTTTTTTCCCTTTTCCCCAGAATTGTTCCTGTTGATGAGTAGGTCCTCTTCTGATTCGGACTCCTTGAGGCTTTAGAAGCTCCTAGGTGAAACTTGTCTACCTCCAGGGAAAAACAGCGCCTGCTCCTTCAAGACGCAGCCCTCCATTGCTATGGATACCGAATCCACATACTCCGGATATTCATACTATTCAAGCCATTCAAAAAAGTCTCACAGACAAGGGTATGTAAGCCATTGATTGTTCTGCTTTGCATTCGGGGAATCTGCAGGTTGGCCGGCTTTCAAGGCTCAGGCCTCTCACAGAGCTGTTGATGCTGGCAGTTCCGCCCACGGTGCCTGGGAGACCGAGCTCTGAGAGCCAGCGGCCCGCTGGAGTTTGGAGTAACTACACTCTCGATTTACATTTTATAGCCACCATTACAGTTGATGACCTTAATTCCTCACAATTAGTTTTAAATTAAAGTTTTCCCCCAGCAGAGGAAATGTTGTTCGTTTCTAAGTGCTCTTCCGATGTCATTTCTCCCAAAGCTGGACCAGTAAGATACAGGAGGGGTAAAAAGCAAGTGTTCATTCGCGGCTTTTCAGCAAAGCTGCTGACTCATTGTCCGTTAGGCATGTGCCCTGAGCTTTGTGCACAGCCAGTGGGATTGGCCCGGCGCTTGTCTTCTCTTTGGTCTTCCAAGTGAACAGCCTGGGTTTTAAAAGCACTACTGGGGTGATGGCGCCAATTTCCCCATCCTCTGCAAACTGAACAGGTCTGTACTAGTAATGGAAGGACCTGCTATTACTAACCTGTTTGCTGGGTGGAGAAATGGGAGATAGGATGCATGAATGGGGGCCTGTACCAGCTCAGAATGCAGGGGACAAAACGACAGTGTTGCCCCTTAATCTGGTCTCCTTATCTATAAAATGGGCACAGGGATCCCATCCTACAGGGTTGTAGAGAGAGTCAAGCGAGGTTATGCGTGCAGAGCATTTAACAGAGTACAGAGTATGTGGTCACCAACTGTGTCCATACTGTCAATGGCTTTCACATTTCAGCATCGTGTTCAAAGGGACCAGCGCTCCCAGCCCAGAGCCCACCGGTGACCACAGCTCAGAGGCGGAGTGGGAGAGGTGACTGAGGTGGTGTCTGTTTCCCTTGCTAAGCAGTTTCCCCCATAAGAGGAGGTGAATGCCGAGGAAGCCTCTGCATTTTATAAAACCATGCTATGATGTGTAGGTCTGACTTGCTTGCTTCTCCATGAGCCTGCATGTGTGTGCATAGGAGGCCGGGATGTCGGTTCTCCCAGCTGCTGAAGGCAGACAGCTCCAGGAGGACGCTCGGCAACAGAGTGACAGGGGCCTGTCACTTGTGCTTGTCTTGCTGTAGTTGTTTGCCTTTAGAGAGTTATTTGGTAAATTCTTAAGAAACTGAGTAAAAATGTTAAAATGAGCACTGTTTTACCCACAGAAGTAGAAAGCAGCAGTAGAAAGTAAATTTCACGGGTCATTTGATAACGAGAAAACATTTATGCACCCATGTTATTAAAAAAATACATATATATATGTATGGGCTGGCCAGATAGCTCGACAGATTAAAGTGCCTGCTCAGCCAGACACAGGGACCAGGATTCGATCCCTGATCCCACATGCTGTGCCAGCCCCACCCTCAGGGCACACTGATATGGCCATTGAGACTGGGCATGATGGCATGCACCTGGAATCCCAGCTCTTGGGAGGCTGTAAACAGGCAGATCACTACAAGTCCGATCTAGTAGTGAGACCCTGAATACCCTGTAAACCCGTCCCTAAAATACAAAAAAATAAAAATAAAATGTCAACTCTTTAACCCTAACTAGCAAAAGCAGCTCACTTGCAGCCGGCCAGGCTTCCCTCCCCTATGCTGCTGAGACTGAAGTAAGAATCTGGGACTCTTGGTGCTTGGGATGATCGGGGAGAGCAGCTTGCGGGCTCCGAGGAGCTGTGCCAGCCTCCTTGGTCTGCACTCCAGTCCTGACCACACTTGAGGGCCCCTGGCTGCCCTTGGCTGTTGCCTTGGGCCTCTTGGGGCCACCAGAAATTGATACTCTGGTGTTGTGGTGGGAACTTTAAAAGACTATAACTGTATTAAAACAACACACAGAAGTCTTAGTGCCTTTGTGGGTCCTCAGCAGATGTCAGTACAAAGCAAGCCTGTTAATCAGTGAAGCCACATTACCATGTGTCTGCTCTAGAGAAGCTCTGAGAGTGGGACGAATGTCTTAGGGACTTGTAGCTGCACTGTGCGCTTGCTGCAGAAGCAGCGCCATCAACCGCGGTGGCCAGGCTGTCCCCTGAAGGCCCAGTAGGCTACAGGAACTGTGGTGCTGCAGGAACTGCTGCATCTGCAGGCTGTGTGTGCTGTGGGGTGCTTGGCCCAGCACAAGAATGTTGAGTGGTAACACTACCTTGCATAGGCTGGGGATGGGCCCCAAACACAGCCAAGAGCACTGATGGCTTCCCAGGAGTGCCACTGTGAGGAATTCCCTTTTGTTGGGAATTCTAATGAAGAGAAGGAAAGGGGAAGGGCCTGACCTGCCGTGTGGTAATTTTAGTGCCACCCCAGCTCAGAGAAGAACAATGAAGAGGGCCACACTCAATACGCCTGCTGACACCGCGGTTATCTGGGAGGGCTGGCCAGCCTCCAGCCTACGGCGGGCACCGCATTTCTAACAAAGAGATTGATGGCCTGGTTTTAGGATGCTTCCAGTTTCAAGAGAGTATCCAGCTAACTTGCTGGGAAAGTGGTACAGACTGTCACCGACCCTGCCTAACCTGTGAGTTTAGAGTACAAGTAACCTGTAACTTAATACAGCAGCTGCCAGTGACATTAAAGACTGCTTTAGGGGTGCCTTCTGGGCCCTTCCCCGTCAGTGTCTTCTCTCCCACAGTGAGAGGTCCTAGTCCCATTTCACAGGAGGT